AAAAGACAATATTATTGTATAAAATGATCTGTAATATGAAAATGGTTTAAATTAACACATATCACAGGAGTAAATGTTCCAGTATATGGGGCAGAGTGTAGTACAGGGTACATGGTGCAAAGGTGACAGGTACATTTAGTGCAGTTCTGTGATGGTGGCTCTGACAGAGGTCGATGAGTTATAGAGTCTTATTGCGGTTGGGAGGAACGATTTCCTGTATCGTTCCTTAGAGCAGCAGGGTTGAATGAGCCTGTGGCTGAAGCTGCTCTTTAGTTTGTCCAGTGTTTTGTGGAGGGGGTGAGAGGGATTGTCCATGATTGCCAGCAGTTTTGCCAGCATCCTGTTCTCCACCACCTCCTCCAGGGTAACAAGCTTAGAGCCAACCACAGACTCAGCTTTCCTGATGATTTTGTTCAGTCTGTTGGCGTCCTTTGTCTTGATGCCCGCACCCCAGGACACCACAGCAAAGAAGATGGTGCTCGCCACAACAGACTGATAGAACATCTGCAGCATCTTGTTGCAGACATTGAAGGACCCYAGCCTCCTCAGGAAGTAAAGCCGTCTCAGGCCTTTCTTGTAGACGGCCTCTGTGTTGGTGTACCAGTCCAGTTTATTGTCCAGTGTGATACCCAGGTATTTGTATGCAGGTACCACCTCCACATCCATCCCACCGATACAGACAGGAGAGGGCAGGGGCTTGTTCCTCCTGAAATCCACCACCATCTCCTTCGTCTTCGCCACGTTGAGCTGCAGGCGGTTCTCCCCACACCACTTCACAAAGCGGTCGACCAGGTCCCTGTACTCAGCCTCCCTCCAGCCCTCAACACACCCCACAATGGCCGTGTCATCAGAGAACTTCTGCAGATGACARYACTCAGTGCAGTGCTTAAAGTCAGCAGTGTATGTGGTGAAGAGGAAGGGGGACAGTACAGTTCCCTGGGGGGCCCCGATGTTACTGATCAGACGATCAGACACACAGTTCTGTAATCTCACAAACTGCGGTCTGCCCGTCAGATAGTCATCGACCCAAGTGATGAGGGGAGCACTCACCTGCGTGACCTCCAGTTTGGCCTTCAGCAGTCTGGGCTGGATGGTGTTGAAGGCGCTGGAGAAATCGAAAAAACATGATCCGGACTGAGGTGTTGGGTCTGTCCAGGGAGGAGTAGGCCTTCTGCATCAGGTAGATGATTGCATCATCAACCCCAACATGGGGCTGATATGCAAACTGCAGGGGGTCTTGTGATGGGCACACCAGCGGTCTGAGGTGTGCCAATACCAGTCTCTCCATGACCTTCATGATGTGAGAGGTCAGTGCCACCGMCCTGTAGTCCTCCAGTGCAGCAGGACGTCCTTTTTTMGMCACTGGGACCAGGCAGGATGTTTTCCAGAGCACTGGCACTCTCTGAAGGTGTATGCTCAGGTTGAAGAGGTGCTGGAGAACTCCACAGAGCTGGCTGGAACATGCCTTCAGCACACGAGGGCTGATGTGGTCCAGTCCAGCAGCTTTCCTCGGTTTGAGCCTCTCCAGCTCTCTTCTCACCTGGCTGGCTTTGATGTGTAGTCCAGACTGGGGGGTAGGGGATGTCAGTGCTGGGTTTGAGGGTGGTGCAAAGAGGTGTGTGTTGCGGAAGGTGGTGGTGGTGGGGGGCTGTGCATGATGTGAGGATGTCCTGGGGGTGGGAGGTGTGAAAAAGTCTGTGGTGAAAGCCAGCGGAGGGGTGGGGGAGATGGTGACGGTTGTGGTGTGGGGCAGAGGGTGATGGGGGGAGGTGGGGGGTTGTTGCTCAGAGAAGCAGTAGAGGCAGTGGAGGGTGGGGGGGTTGGAGTTGAACCTATTGAAGAATGTTCAGCTCGTTCGCACGTCGTTCATTCCCAGCTGCTCCCTCACCTCTCCTCTGGAAGCCGGTGATCTCCTTCATCCCACTCAGACGTCTCTTCTATTGTTGTCCTCCAGTTTGTGCTCCAGTTTTCTTCTGWAGTTGTCCTTGCTCTCCCTGATGCTGCGCTTTAGCTCCCTTTGTACCCGTTTGAGTTCTGCTCTGTCCCGTGATCTAAAGGCCCTCTTCTTCTCGTTGAGAAGGGCCTTCAGGTCGCTTGTTACCKACGGTTTGTTATTTGGGTAACAGCGGACCTCTTTAGTGGGGATGGTGTTGTCTATGCAGAACTCAATGTACTCAGAGAAACAGTCAGTCATGCCATCAATGTCCTCACCATGTGGCTCATACAGAGCATCCCAGTCTGTGGCCTCCAGCGCTCCACGCAGTGTATCCATGGCCTGAGGAGTCCATTTCCTCACTGTCCTCACTTTGACTGGGTGCRGCTGAACCACAGGCTTGTATGATGGTGAGAGCAGGACTAGGTTGTGGTCTGARCTGCCCAGTGGTGGCAGGGCAGTGGAGCTGTATGCATCCTTAACATTTYCATACAGRAGGTCCAAASTCTTAWTMTCACGGGTGGCACATTTTACAAACTGGAAGAATGTTGGGAGTGTGGATGAGAGGGAAGCATAGTTAAAGTCACCTGTGATGACGATGAAGGCCCCGGGGTGTTGTGTCTGTAATCCTGCAGTCACAGTGTGGATGACGTCACACGCTGCTTCTGCATTCCCAGATGGAGGAATATAAACAGTGATGGCAAAAACACTGGTAAACTCCCTCGGCAAATAATATGGACGAAGTCCGACTGCGATGAGCTCGATGTCCGGGTTGCATACACGCTGTTTAACGGTGACGTACCCGGGGTGACACCACCTGTTGTTCACGAGCACGGCGAGACCCCCCCCTTTCTTCTTGCCGGTCGTGGTGGTGTCTCTGTCGGCTCGAACCGTCTGGAAGCCGGGAACGTTGGAGTCCGGTATCTGCTCGTGAAGCCACGTTTCCGTGAAACACATAATACTGGACTCCCTGTACTCCCTCTATCTTTCTTCACCTTTACCTCACTCAGAAACACCTTGATGTCTGTGTCAGAAAGTTGTGCTTCTTCCCTATCACGTGATGCCAGATTCACCAGAGAAACCCATTTGTCAGCAGGAAAGTTTTTTATTCATGAGGTGCTTTGCATTGACCATTTATGGTTGATTGTGGGCGACTTTGAGGCAGATCCACATACGCACGTTTCCAGGGAGAGTTGGATTTACAAAGGGAACATGGCCTTCAGGTGTGAATGTGCACAGTTTTATAAATTTGAATCTTTTCTTTGAGGACGTCATTTTCGGCCTTTGTGCACACGTACACTTATAGTATGAATCCTATAAGCACTATTATATAAAAGAGGCCCCAGGTGTGAATACACCCATGATGCATTGAGGAAACATTTGAGATACGATCACTGTGGCCACATTCTTCGCTCTCACAACATGTAGACCTATCATAACAATACATTTGGTCTTTGTGAACAGAAGAAAATTAAGTGATTATTTGCATATAGAGCAGGGCAGTGAGACACGATCACAAGTGGTCACTGGAGACACATATTCAGACAGATTCTGATGCCAGGTGTGAACAGACATGAGCTGTGTATGAACAGAACCCAGGACAAGAAGCTACCCGAAGGAAAAAGAAAAGATTCCATGCAAGATGAAACATATGAAATGGGTGGTTAATGTGAGGGAACTTAACCACTGCAGCATTGACCCACAACTTCATACCAGATTTCCCACACTACTTAATGATACTAATACATATAAAACACTTAGGTGTCTTGAAAAATACAATAGAATGTACAGGGGGGAGCAAACCAGTAATTATTAACAATATTATCTTCTGTATCTTGAAGAAGACAAACCATTCTCTTAACCATGCTAGGATTAACCCCAGCTAACACTAATGGCTACTGTACCATGGTCTTGTCCACCTGATATGTGTGGTGGCAATTTCTGTGAAACAAGCACAAAGTCAAACACTTCTTTCTGAAAGTTTAATTCAGCATCTGCAGATGGACTCATCAGTACACATCACCTGAATGACATGCACAAATGAGCAAAGAACATAGGAGAATCTGTGTTCTTATYACTCTCAGCCCCCTCCCACTAAGCATGCAAAGGTATTTATTACCCTCCTGTAGTTTCACTCAGTGGAGGAGACATCCTGTCCATTTGTTTACATGTTCTGTGGATGACCCCCCCCTTTCAGACCCCAGGTGTGAGATCCCAATCAGAGATACCATGAGAAGCCATAAAACTCAAGTCTCTTAAGCCAACATCGTAAACCTTAAAGTTAACCCTTTTAGATTAACAATTTGGTGAACCATTMGGTAAGTCCTCCACATACATGTCTGCTAATGCAATTAAACATTCACAAATGTAAAAATTCCCATTACATATGCCTCCAGAATTGACATATAAAGGGGTTTTCTGTTAGCTTCAACATGCTTTGGGTGTTAAACGGGTTGGGTGTTGTTGCAGGAGCTGGCAGGTAAGGACCAGGAGAAGGTGGCTGAGGTGAGCCAGGTCAGGGTGGAGCTGCAGGAGCAAATTGGACATTTGCAGGCAGAGAGGACAGTACATAGAGGACTCAAAGAGAAGATCTGTGCTTTGGAGAGAGAGATTAAAGGTACAGTCTTTTTTTACTTTTTGCAAACATAATGAAAGCAAACTTTACAGATGTGAAAACTGAAACAAAGGGTCAAGCTGTAGTGTAAATCATTCGACTATGCAACTGATTTGTTTTAAATGTTATACTTTATATATATATATATATCGGTTTCCTGCTGTCCTGCAGTTTTAAGCAGTAACCACAGAGAGGTGCTCCTTGACAAAGACAGTGAGATGTCTTCCATATTGGAGAAGCTGCGGTTGAAGGAGGCAGATATCCGGAGGATCAGGGAGGACGAGACAAACAGAGCAAGCTACCTGCAGAGTGCCATCCTCACCTACGTTCAGGGCTCGACTCTGAGACACTGCAGCAGCTCCAAGAAATGACACACATAACTCAATACCTCAACTGTGTTCTCTAAGCCCTCACTGGGATGATGCCCTGAATTTGCAATGTTTTAATAGTGATGATACATGAGTTAAGGCGCTGCTCAGTGGGACTTGTCCACAACAAAATGTACATATACAGCCAAGAAATTAAGGTCTTTAATAGTCTTACTTATAACTGGTGAAACTTTTGTGTCCTGTTTTGCGCCTCATCAATTCTTAAGATTGAACTGTTATTGCTACATTCCACTAATAGCCTCCATCCTTAAAGGGATAGTTCACTGAAAAATGAAAATTAATTCATTATCTACTCACCACTATATCGATGGATCACTGTTTTTGGTAGAAATTATATTTCCACATGGCAAATAATTTACTAGTAGGTGTAGTAGAGTAATAGAAAACCAACAGACCCAACAGTCATGACATGCAGGCTGCTGATTCTGTGTAATTCAATCATTAATTTAAAGGGGTGTGTTCAAAATAATAGTAGTGTGGAGTTCAATGAGTGAGGTCATTCATTCTGTGAAAAAACAGGTGTCAAATAGGTAGTCTCATTTAAGGACGAAGGCAGCAAATGTTGTACATGCTGGTTATAGTGCATTTCTCTCTGAAAATTGGAGTAAACTGGGTTGGTCCAGCCATTGTTCAGAAGAACAGTGTACTTTGATTAAAAAGTATAAAGAAGTGCAGAAAATTATAGGCTGCTCAGCTAAAATGATCTCAAATGCTTTAAAATGGCAACCAAAATCAGAAAGATGTGGAAGAAAACGCAAAACTACCATTCAAATGGATCGAAGAATAGCCAAAATGGCAAAGACTCAGCCAATGATCAGCTCCAGGATGATCAAAAAGGTCTAAAGTTACCTGTAAGTACTGTAACAATTAGAAGATGCCTATGTGAAGCCAAGCTATCGGCAAGAAGCCTCCACAAAGTTCCATTGTTGAAAAATGTGCTGAAGAGGTTACAATTTTCCAAAGAACACAGTGACTGGCCTAAAGGGAAATGGCGCAACATTTTTTGGACTGATGAAAGCAAGATTGTTCTTTTTGGGTCTAGGGGCCGCAGACAGTTTGTCAGATGATCCCCAAACACTGAATTCAAGCCACAGTACACGACAGTACAAGACAGTGAAGCATGGTGGTGCAAGCATCATGATATGACAGGTCTATTTATCACATACCAGGGATCATGGATCAGTTTGAATACATAAAAATACTTGAAAAGGTCATGTTGCCTTATGCTGAGGAGGAGATGTCGAGATGTCCTTGAAATGGGTGTTTCAATAAGACAATGACCCCAAACACACCAGTAAGCAAGCAGCATCTTGGTTCCAGACCAACAAGATTAACTTTATAGAGTGGCCAGCCCAATCCCCGGACCTTAATCCAATACAAAACTTGTGGAGTGACATTAAAAATGCTGTTTCTGAAGCGAAACCAACAAATGCAGAGGAATTGTGGAATGTAGTCCAATCGTCCTGGGCTGGAATACCTATTCACAGGTGCCAGAAGTTGGTTGACTCCATGCAACACAGATGTGAAGCATTTCTCAGAAACAGTGGTTATACAACTAAATATTAGTTCAGTGATTGACAGGAAAGCTAAATCTTCAAGCATTTTTCAGTTTGTACAGTAAATGTTTGAGTTTTTAAAGAAAAATCCACAGCTATTTTTTTCAACAGCCTAGTATTCCTTTTTCTTCACTTTCTGTAAAGTAATAACAAATTTGATAAATGTTTCTTCATGTTTTGATTTGGAATAGAATGTGCATTGTTCCCAATGCATTTGTGTGTATGGAAATAAAAGCTATTATAAGGATTTTGAGCTGTACTCACACACGCTATTATTTTGAACACAACTGTATGTAAACTCAGGGGTAAACATTGTTGCAGCCAAATCCAATACAATTGAAGTAATTGGTGATCAATTTTTCAAATGTAAATAGAC